CGGGGATCGAACTTGTGCCGCCGTGGCTGGTGATAGCTCGATAGCGCTGTCTCTAACCCCTGCGCCACCAGGGAGGCCCCCAACGTTCCTTTTAAGGTTGGCAGGAGGCCCCTGTGATCCTGGTGTGATGAGACTGTGGACGTGCCCGTCAGTGGCTCGGGGGCTCCGGGTAGAGCCGATCCGCGTGGGGCAGGAGAGGAGGTGTGGGTGGCGGCCGGGCGTCTGCCAACACGCTGCACGTTGTGACGTGACCGGTCAGCCAAACAGCATGAGGGTCTCTTCCTTGCGGGCCTGTGCATGGCCTCGTTCTGCTGCTGGCCTCCGACTGCCCCAAAGTTCACCCCTTTCCTCTAAGGCAGGGTCCACAAGTGCCCCTGCGAACGCCGTCGCTACCTGCAGTGGTTTCTCTAAGAAACACCCCAGGTTTCAGCCCTTTCAAACTGACTTTCTCAGGCTGGAAGGGCTTTCTACACCGCAGACGAGCAGATGCCTTTGACAGAAGCGTTCGCAGGAGTCGGAAGTCCCTGCACGGCCCCCGGGAGGCGCAGGGCCTGGGGGGCCTCAGGTCTCAGAGCAGCTGTGAGGCCCAGTTATCACCGCGCGCGTCCTCCGGACAGCGTGTGCGTTTACACAGTGGTTTCATTTTTGAGGTTCCAAAATTCAGGGGCATCGGAAAGCCCCCGGGAGTGGGGTCCCCCAGCGGGAGCAGAGCGAGTCTCACAGTCGCGCCGAGGGAGCAGCGCTGTGGGCCCCGCGGGCGGCGGCAGCCCGGTGCTGACCAGCAGAGCCGGCGGGGCCGAGCCTCCTCGCCGCTGCACTTTGAGACACACAAAACCAAAAGCAGTGGCTTCTGCGTCGTGCCCCCCCCCCGCCCCCAGCCGTGTTGAGGTCCGCGCCACAGCGCGCGGTTGTCTGCATCTAAGGCGCACCCCGCGGTGCTTTACAGGCTGGGTCGGGCTCTGACGACCCCCCGTCCTTTCTCTGGGTGACACCATGTAAGAGCCATTTAGCTCAGAGCTGCTGGGTGAGCAGCTCATCTACAAGGACGACTAAGTCACTGGAGCAGGGATCAGCCTTCCCATGAGCTTAAAAAACCTGACAATTTGGGGGGTGGTGCAGCTTTCCAGCATCACAGCAGTTTTAGGGGAAACTCTGTTGAGTTCATTTTAAAAATAAGTTCGTAGAGCAAATGCTTCTGTTCACCGTCCCCGGGAACTGCGGGTTCTGAGCACGGATTCGTACCAGCTGGAAAGTGCCGGTCGGAGCACAGGCTTCGCGGCCCGGGGGCCTTCCGTCTGCTCCCGCCGTGAGGCTGCCGCGTCCCCACGAGCCCGCCCTGGGCTGCACGTTTGTCTGCTGCACGCAGGGCAGGGGTTCTGGGGTTGGGGGGGGGGGCATCTGACACAGTTGCGCTTGTCTGAACCTCTGGAGTGATGTTTCCTTCTAAGCAGAGCCGACCTCGGAGGCCGTGGCTGCGCCTGGCACACACGGGGGCACAGACACCCCTGCCCAGGGGCAGGCACGGGCAGCTGGAGGAGCGAGCCTGCTCTGCGGGGTCCCTGGGGGGGCGGCCCTTGCAGAGAGGAGAGGGGTCCCTTGTCGTGGCCCCTGCTGATGCCTCCTGACCCCTCAGCTGTAAAGTCTCGGCCCGCGGCGGGGCAGACTCGGTGCCACAGGACCTGTGAGGGGGCCTGACCCCCACCCGGGTCCGCCTGGCATATAGTGCTCTGTCCCTGGGGGCCCCCACTTTCTCCCTGACCCAAATGGCAGTTTGAGGGGTTACTTGGTAGCACAGGCAGTTGCTTCCTTCACTAATCAGGAAATTGAAGACTCAGAAATGAGCCCTGCCCGGGATTGTGTGGAGGCTCAGGGCAGAGCTCCTGTCCCCAGGTCTCCTCTGTGCCTCTCCCCCATCAGCACAGCCCCTGCGGGAACACACCCCACCCACAGGGGCATTATTCCCAGAAAGTGCTTACCAGCGCGCCCAGGATTCCACCTGTCACGGTGTTCAGCGCTTACAGCCGCCACCACGACGGAGGCGCTGCCGCACAACCACCAGGTGGCCTTTTCAGACGCAAGCTGGAAACGCCTTTACAATTCCTCTTCTCCTTTTAGGGGTGCTGCCTCCTTCTGGCCCCAGGTGGTCCTCATGACCATCCCTGGACCACAGCTGAGCTGAGCGCGGGCACGGCGGCTTGGTGGGTTATGACTGTGCACGTGCCGGGACAGCGCAGCTAACACTCACTTTCCCGAGTGAATCGGACCAGAAGTGTTCTTGAAACGAACTCTGTTTTCTGAAACGGCAAGATACTTTATTTTTAAAATCTCCTTATTTTAACACTGCACTGTTAGGTGTGATTTTTGACATCCCAGCAAGGCAAAGCTGTAATCTCACCAGCTGCCATTTAACTTATGGTGCATTTTGTCAGATCTTATTTTTTGCAGTGTAGACGAGCTGAAGAGGGTCTAGAGCCCCGGTAACTGTTATTTTTTAGGATTGCAAAATTATATTGTCTGAGCACGTGGTACAAATGACAGTATAGAGATTTCAAGTAGGTGTGTTCTGGAGGCTGAGTATTATTCCCTTGGGCTGTTTAGCTCCACCAGTAGAGGGCCAGCCGCAGGCCGCGGGGGCCACGGGTGTGATTCCACCTACTTGTGTCTTGTGAGCCCCAACCACTCAGCAGCCATCCCTCCGCGCAGCCCTGGGGACCTGCCAGGAGGTGGCGCCGCTCCTGAGACATGGAAGCAGATGCCCGCTCTACTGATGGGTACCAGAAGCTCCCACATCGCATCTCTGGAAGCTCTTAAAAATTACCCAAAAGTGGGCCCTTGTGGTTCGAATTTAGTGGTCCAGGATTGGGTATTTTTTAAAGCTCCCCAGAGAGTGGACGTGGCCGGGCTGAGGCCCAGGGCGAGGAGGGCCGAGCTGGCTCTCACTGCGCTGCTCTGCTTGGCTTTGGCTGCTCTATTAGGCCTTCCAGGCCCACCTGACCGGGGTCAGAGGTTCTTCAATGGTGAATCACTAATCCTCCTGTTTTCTTCTTTGAAAAGTTTGCCCAGAATGAACATCCACTGATAAAAAGACAGTCCAGGAAAGGTGCTTGTGGACAACCACCAGTGGATCGTGTGGCGCCGGGGAGACCCCTCAGCACATACACCCTGCACTGTTTTAGAAGCAGTGACTGTCCGTGTGTCTGCGTGTCTAGGTGGAGGCTTAGCATCTGCTACGTGGTGGATCTCGCGCCTGTACTAAGAGGAATGACGAGAAAGTTATATTCAAAGAGCCCAGTGCCTGGGAATTCTCAGTGGGGCCCCCGCTTCTACCCCTCTTTGCCTGAGGGGTTCGTTCCGCTCCTGTGGACACCCCCCTTCCAGGGCCACGTGACAACCCACCTCTTCACCGACCCTCTCAGAGAGCAGGCCAGGGCGGGGCCTCCATTGGGAGTGTGCGTGACGCCTCTCGCTAGTTCGCACTGGCTGGTGTTTAACTGGGCTTTGATATTTAGCTCCGCGAGTCTCGCCCCGTGCGGAGCTGGCTCGCTTCTCTGACACAGAGCAGGCCCTCCGCGGTGGCCACCGAACCAACCTGGAAGGCGAGCTCCGAGGTCGGGGTTGAGTTTCATGGCGACTGTGTGTTTCCTTGACGGGAAGCACCATGTTGGGGTGGGGTGGGATGGAGCAGACAGAGGATCCTGGAGAGCCTCCCATTTGTCAGGTGACAGCTGTGCGCGAAGCCAAGGGGCTGACCCACATGCTTGTGTAAACGTTGTTCTGAAGCAGCAGTTCTTTTTAAAGAAAATGTCGTGAGTGGAGCTGCGCCTGCCCGGTTCCGCCGTGCAGACAGTGAGAGATCAGGCATGAGGGGTTTAAACTGAGGGAGCGTTTTAGTTGAAAGTTCCCAGACAGGTGCACGGCAGCCGCCTGCACCGCGACGAAGCTGCTTTTTCTCATTCAACAGGAACTTGAGCCCAACAGAGGTGAGCACCTGGCGGCACCAGGCGCTGAGCTCGGGGGGCACTCACAAGGTCATGGCCCCTGCCCTGGGCAGCGTGGACTGGCAGGGCAGTAAGGTGGACTGGAGCTTGGGGGGCAGCGAGGTATGCGATCTGACAGCGCCCCCGGAGTGTGAAGCAGATAGGAGGCTTTACACTCCCCCCTCAGGCAGGAGGGTGCAAATGAGCTTCCCTTGAGGGGCTGTCACACTTACACCCAAGCAGGGTCGTGCCTGGAAGGCGGTCAGCCCCTGATGGTCGCGCTCCTGTCTAGGAAGTGGTGAGGCTGTTCTTGCTGCTGGGAACTCTCTCCCCCACACCCCTGGACCTTCACATAGCTGCTGGCGGCCCGGAACCAGCTCAGGGCCCCTCCTGTCTTCTTTGGGTCCCGTGCGCCTTCCTCCCTGCTCATGGCTCTGCTGTGCTCTGCCCCTGTCTGCCTGCCCTGGGTGCTGCCCTCCTGCAGAGGAGGGACCCCCCCCTCTGCCCGGCTTCCCAGGTCTCTCCAGCTGCTCCATTTCTGCATCAGCAGCACTGAGCGTCCAGTCGCCGCCTGCTACTTGGCACGAGACTGCAGAGCTCTGCGGCAGGACGCAAGGGCCACTGCTTGTCCACGTGGCCACGCCACCCCGGAATTGCCTGGTGCTGGGTCACCCTGTCTGCCGGGGCCGTTTTGTGTGGGAGACGCAGCCGTATTAGGCCAGGCCTGGAGGCGGCAGAGCGGGCCACACGGGGCTGCCTCGCTTTGTGCAACTGTAAGGCAAACTCCGCTTTTTTGCAGGGGCGGCCCGTGCCGCTCTCCCCAGCGTCACTGCGAGGGCGCATCCGCCCAGCCCTACGGGGACAGCGAGAACACGGCAGGCAGGACGGGCGCGAGCTCACGTCCTCACGCTGGGAATCCCGCGAGGCTCCCGAGGGCCTGTCCAGCGCGGCTGGGGTGGTCTGGCCACGGGGCAGTGGACACTGGGCCTTCCTGCGCGTCACCTCCCGCCTCTTGTCGCCCAGAGTGCAGAGCAGATCGCGGCGCTGTGCAGGAGCTGTAACGGCGCCCAGACCAGCGGCATGGAGGCGCCCAGGGAGAGTCGGGACCCGCCGCGGCCGCTGGCCCGCCACCTCTCGGATGCAGATCGCCTCCGGAAGGTCATCCAGGAGCTGGTGGACACGGAGAAGTCCTATGTGAAGGTGAGGGAGGCGCAGGCCTTCATCCTGTCTCGCTTCCTGTCCGTAATGCCCAGCTGTGTGTCCCGACACCTCTGCCCAGGAGCCGCCGCGCGGGGGAGACACCTGCTCCGGGAGGGGAGGGCGAGAGGGTGGCAGGGAGGCCTTGGAGAAAATCAGTTTCTTGGCTCACTTTGTTACCAAGGTAGCTTTCACTATGGAAACAGATGTTCTGGTTCGTCATGGCAATGTGGGAAGGGAGCCTGGGCTGGGTTAGCACAAGATCACTCTGGGCAACGAGGAACTAGACCTTGTTCACAAGTGGCTTTGGAGGCAGCCGCCGCCCAGAGCTCAGGCCGGCCGGCGCGCCGATGGCCATGGGCGCAACCCAGTCCACTGATGTGCTGGTCGCCACCTGGTGTCCCAACCATCACTGAGGGGCAGAAGCCCCTAGTTAGTAGTTTAAGAAACGTTTTCTGAAGAATACAGGAACCTGGAGAGAGATTCTTTTGCTTTAAGTATCTGCTCAAGCTTTGGAAATATTTTAGCCTCATCTGATTGGCCGGTTGCTGCAAACAGCCTAGCACAGCTCTGGGTTCCCAACTGTCCAGCTCTGATGTGCTCAGTCCCAGCATTAAGCTTTCACGCAAGCACACAAGCCCCTTCTCCACCAGACCCTGAGTTCCCGTTTTGTTGACGTCACTGTCCCCTTACCGGGACTGAACTGCAGGCCCTCACAGGTGACGCAGAACTACCCAAAGCCCCTCCTTTGGTCTCCCAGGAGAGGACCAGCTAGACAGATGGCACTTTGCTCCCCATCAAGTCTTGCCCTGCCTCTGGCGCAGGGAGATGAGAACTTGCAGAGTCCAGACTAGTTTTCTGGACTGTTCTGGAGCAGCCGTGGCCTGTCCCAAAGCCTAGAGCCCTTCTGACTGCTTGAGCAAGGACCTGGGGCTCCTCCCCAGGAGCCCGGGTCGAGGGGGAGCAGAATGCACATCCCTTTTGGTTGCTGTTCCAGTTCGCCATCAGGGCACCCCCCCATGGGAGGGTGGACTATGGCGCGGTGACACAGAGAACGTGCGTTTGTCTCCTCAGCGCAGCCCGCTCCCTTTGTCTCCAACACCCGCGCCTGCTGTGATCTCACACACACACCGTTTTCACTTTTTTTGTTGTTGACATTTAACATGCAATTTTACTTACTGTTCTTTAACCTGGATCCCTGCACGTAACCTGAATTTTCAACATCTGTATTTTCCCGAGAGTAACTTCTCACACCCCCTGCCCTGAAGTAGCCACTGTGGGGTGAGGGGCGGGGGGAAGGCCAGGGAGACGGCGTGGCCGGAGGTCTGTCCACACGGTCAGGACTCCCACCATAAGGTTCTGGAGACTCCAGGCTTGACAAAGGGCTCCAGGTCTAGACTTCTTCATTGCAAAATGAAGGAGGCCAAAAGCTGACTTTGGGGTCAGGCTAGTATTTCGGACTCAAAGTTCTACAGTACAAAGGAAAGAAGGAAAGAAATTTTTCTATCTGTAAACTGTATCTCAGTCTTGGCTTCAAATTCTTAACCGAAAAAAACAAGCCCTTTACCTGAAGAGTTTGTGAAAAGAGACTATTCGTATGTCTGAGGCCTGGTCTGCTGGAGCCTTGACTGCGGCCTAGCTTGCAAATATCATAGCTGCTAATCCTTGGAAATTTTTCTTGTATTTGAATATGGGGGCTTGAAAGTTTGCTAGTGCTTCAACCCCCAAATTGAAGAGCTCCCCAGAACCTGTCCTCTCCCTCCAGTTCTCGGTTGGAGCTGCTGCCCTGCCCCTAACGCATGTCAGCCAGGTGTGGCCACACCTGACAGGCTTCCCCTTCTCCACAGGGAGGTGACTCCCCTGTTGCAGGAGAGGAAAGGAAGATTCTGGATCTGTCAACAAGATACTAAGCAGAGTAGCCCTCAAGCACTAAAGGAAAATGTGGAGCTGGTATTAGCCTCTGAAGTAGGGAGGCAGTAATGACCAGTTTGAAAGTAAAAAAATCCAACTACTCTGAAACCATCATTCCTAATGGGGGGGGGGGGGTCTTTGGAGCTGCTGCCAGGGCCGGGGAACACGTGGCATTTGGACTCTCTCCTGCCTTTTAGGACCTGAGCTGCCTCTTTGAGTTATACTTGGAGCCACTTCAGAGTGAGACCTTCCTTACCCAAGATGAGGTGAGTGACCACGTCCCTCTGGCCACTGACTAGCTCCATGGCCTCACTCTCAGGGGCCTCCTAGGTTCTACCTGTTGATCTCCGAAGAACACACCAAGTCTGCGAGGCCACTTGTCCATGGAGGGCGGCGTGGCCGGGCGTGAGCTGACCTGCACAGGACGGCCACGCCCTGTGTAGAAGGCGCATCAGACTTCTTTTTAAAACATGATTTGTTTAATGTTAAATCACAGTAATTATTGCTTTTCTGCTGAATTCCATTTCCCCTGATTTGCATTCTGAAAATTTCACACCTATTCAAAGTCATTTTAGAATTGCAGGGACCAGCTGTGTAAACTGCCTGTGTAGAAATGGCACTGCCCGAGGAAGGTGCCACCCAGTCTGCAGGGTCCCTGCTGTGCACCTCGGCGGATGACTCGTGGTTTACTTGCGGGTCTGAAGGGGACCTAGGCCTCCATCGCTAATATGCTCTTTTCAAAATCCTGGTCTTCATGCAGATGGAGTCACTTTTTGGAAGTTTGCCAGAGATGCTTGAATTTCAAAAGGTGTTTCTGGAGACTCTGGAGGATGGGATTGCAGCATCGTCCGACTTTAACATACTTGAAACCCCCTCTCAGTTTCGAGTAAGTATCTCAGACTTAAAAACAGGTGGGTAGAGTAAAACTTTCCTTGAAAAAGAACGTACTGTCCGTCAATTATTGCAAAGATTACCTTAGTGCCATCACATTTCGCCTTCTCCCTCGAGGAGTCTGGCGATCAGCACTCTGGGCAGCAGGGTCTCTGGGATCTGCCCAGCCGCTGACCAGGTCAGTGCCCTGTGCGCGGCTCTCCTAAAGGATCAGCAGGGTGACTGCGTCTGCGGCCAGAGCGGCAGGTGGCACGTGATGGCAGCACAGGCCCGCAGCTGTTCTGCAGACCCTCCTCGTCCATGGAGCCCTGTCCCCAGTGTGCGCTGGCTGACGAGCAAGAGGTGAAGGCAGTTGCAAGGGCAGGGAAACACAGGCACAGCCTCGGTCACACCAAATAAGGCAGAACTGGCGCGATTCCTCAGCTTGCCCATTTCTTATATGCTGCCGTGTCACATATATTTTTATAGAACTGTTTCAATTGTCCACCATGTTAACTGACATTTCAATCAGAAATGTCAACCAGAAACATTTCAATCAAGCAGAAACCTGCTAGGGAGTTGCCCGGGCTGCTCTCCAGCTGATGGGGCCTTGGGCTTACCGAGCCCAGGCTTGCTCTGAGCCGTCACTGCTCTGGCATCTCAAAGACATTCGCCAGAGGGATGCAGAATCAGCCAAGGGCCTCGCCAGTGGCAGTGATTCAATCACAGCTGATGTGGCTTCTCCCCTTCCCTTCCAGAAACTGCTGTTTTCCCTCGGAGGCTCCTTCCTTTACTACGCAGACCACTTTAAACTCTACAGCGGATTCTGTGCTAATCACAGTAAAGTGCAGAAGGTTCTAGAGCGAGGTAAGTTGCTTCCACCTTCTATAAAGCTAACTTTTGTATTTTAACTGTGAAAGGGTAAATCTGTACTTAATGGTAGGGTAAATGCAACTTTAGTGGTTCATGCTCCATTGCTGGCCCTAAATTTGAGAAAACAAGGGTAAGTTTTTGGTTTATTTCAATTAATAACTGAGCACGTGTCCAACGAGCAAAACTACTGACTTGCTACGTATCATTTTGCTATTTAAGTTATATCTGTGTTCTTTTGGGGATTAGGGGCTGGCAAACTCTCTGCTCTAAACATTGACACTCAAAAGCCCCTGGAGCAGAGTAGAAAGGAATGTAAACCATTTCCTTCTTTCCTGTTAACCACCTTCTTAAACCTGCAAACCAGCCATCACCGAATTCACATCAAATGTGTTGATGAACATGAGCCTTTGGTGCAACCAGGAGAAAACGCCCATTGATGCCTCCACACTTCCATCATGTCCACGTACATCTGTGTGGGCAGCCCCCTGCTCCTCTTCATGCCAACAGCACACACGATTCCGACACTGACAGAGATGCCTGAGCTGTGCTGACCTGCAGTGGTCAGCGTATAGCCAGATGAGGGTGCCTTGGGCCCCTGGGCCCTCAGGCACGTGCCCGTCAGGCATGTTGGGGCTCTCTGCTGCCATCACCATCACTGCATCAGCCTGCAGCCCAGTCTGTTTCTCCAACACCCTAAATAAACCAGGAGTGCTCACTAGCATTCTTCTGCTCCTGAAGGCTTCGTCCACTCACCACACACCTCTTTAGGTTTAAATTCTCATTTCTGGTGACAGAGACCGGGGAGAAGTCAGTGATGCAGGCACAGGAATTTATGCTCAAGGCTGTGGGCATCAGTAATTCAGTCTACAGAGAACACTGGAAAAAATACAAGTCCTCAGTGGTCTCTCCCCTGTGACGCTTCTCCAGTGGAAGGGGTGTCAGGAGAGGGTAGGCCACCTGATGAAGGTTCATCTCGAGTGTCTCCTGGGAAAGTTGTCAGGCGGTACCTGCATACTCTTGAGGACCTGGAGATAAGACATGAGCCTACTGAAGCTGACCTGTGGTAATGTCACAAGCATCTGGGACAAGGATGACTTCCCCAGGACACGACTGCCTCCTTCAGCACAAAGGCTGGACTTCCAGGATGCTCTGCCACCTCCCAGAATCAGGGCTCTCTCCCATGATGGGGCAGTTGTTGAAGGAGGGCTCTGCACTTGAACTTTCAGAATTATATCAACAGGGTGGGAGCGGCCACACTATGTTCCAGACCTTTCTCTGTCGTCAACTGCCTCTTAAGGGCACTGTCAAAGTGGAGCTGCAGTTGGCAAGTCAATGTGTGTTTCTCAAAACCAGGGAATGGCCCTACAGCATGGCGGATGTGCGGAGGTTTATTTCAACTCGGGAAGTGTTTACCTGGTTCCACAGATGCGGTTCTGTCATTTGGCTTAGACCCCGAACTCCACAGTATCCCAGTGTAAAAGTGGGGCTCTGGTGTGCTTCATGCTCCATGTTCATGAGAACCAGCCACGACCTGTCTCTAGTTCTTCAACAGAGCTCTGCCGCCACGGGCATCTCCTCGCAGTGCCCAGGGGCTCGCTTAGCGCTCCTTCATCGTGATGATGAGGTACCATCTCGTGGTCACTCTGGCACTGGATGGCACCGCAGCTCCTGGCCGTGCTGGATTCTGCCTTTGCAACAAAACTCCAGACAGGGACTCTCTTCATTCAAATGGGCTGAATTTCAAGCAGCTGGCCAGCAATGCCAGCAGGTAGCATCCAAAGCAGCAGCTGGAGCACCCACCGGCACAGACACTAAACAGAGGTGCAGGCTGTAGAGCTGATTGACTTCTTCTAAAGAAACAAAAATACTGCTTAACGAATAGCCCTTTTAAGTTTACAAAATAAGGAACAATTTGTACTAGGACAGTGGGAAAAGCACGGGTTTATCGTGTCCTAGCAACCTGATCGGGGGTATGGTGGGATCTGGGTGCCACTGTGGTGTGGCTTTATGAGTGGTTTGAAACTCACTTTCCAGGCAGACAGGCATGCCCTTCCTTCCAGTCAGACATGCCTGTTCTCCGACCCCGCGCTCCTCCCTGGTGTGGATGCCTCCCGCAGCCTTGTCAGCTGCCTGTGTGCAGCCTGCCGCAGAGCTGGGGTGCTGAAGTCCCAAGGGCTGGGTGCTTGCATCCTGTGTGGCCCTGCAGGACGGCAGTGGGAGGACCAAGGGGGCGAGTGGTGCAGAATGTAATTCACCTTGTAGATGAGACCCACACCATGCTCGGCTCAGGGTGTTTATCGATTTGTTCACAGCTAAAACTGACAAAGCCTTCAAGGCTTTCCTGGATGCCCGGAACCCCACCAAGCAGCACTCGTCCACACTGGAGTCATACCTCATCAAGCCGGTGCAGAGGGTGCTCAAGTACCCGCTGCTGCTCAAGGAGCTCGTGTCCCTGACGGACCCCGAGAGCGAGGAGCACTACCACCTGACAGGTGAGAAAGGGAAGCGGTGGCTAACTGCTGCCACCCGCTGGCCGGCAAGTCCCCTCTCATATTCTGAAGTATTTCCAGTACCGTGATCTCGGGTCTAAGCTAACAGGTGAAAGCAGCAGATGAATACGGCCGTCCCTGTGGGTGGGCAAAATACTTTGGCAAAAATGAGCTCATTGGAGTAGCTCCAAACCCCTCTGATGGGATGATTCCAGTTTTATTTTGCCAAGGAGGTAGTTCAAGCTCAGTGAGTTGAGACGTCACTTCAGGTCACTTGGTTAGCCAGCAGTGCCACCAAAGCCACGGCTGGGCCTCTTTCTTCCCCTGTGAGGTCTGTGGTTGTCTGCAGCCCCAATGCTGTGCATCAGACACGCTGGGTGGGGCGCCACCTGGTGGCAGTCTCTGAGCAGTGCTCGTGGTGACACTGAACCCCAGAGGGCAGACTGGGCCTTCATGTGACAGGGATGGGATGAGTCTTCTTTTGTAAAGACGGAAATTATTGGCCTAAAATAGAACCTGTGAAATACACAAAGCCCTTCAGTTGGTAGTACATAGAGTATTCCTGAAAGAGATGGCTTGGGTGGGTTAGAGCCACGCGCGAAAGCGGGCTGCCCAATTATGCTATGTGAAATAAAATCCCTGGAGAGGACACCTGCCCGTTAATACCCTGCAAAATACTTCTTCTGCATCGTAAATAGAAAGTTTTGTGTATGAAATTCCTCAGTGATGGAAATTATGGTTTGTATTCAAATACTGTGTGAAAAGTTCATTTTGCTTTGAGATGATCTTTTAGTTGAAAGACTGCCTTCCAGAACTAACAAAATACTAAGTTAGGAGAGCAAAGTATGAAATATACTGAATTTGGAGGAGATCTGAAATTTTGACAAAATCACTGTGGCCCTCACATGCCACAGTTCATTACTGTATGGAAAGTAATGAACGCATAGTGCAAACATTCGCTCGCACGGGTAAGCTCTTACAGATACTTCTGCCCTGGCTAAACGGTGCTTTATATCCCAATTCCAGGAACTGTCCTAGGAGGAGGCAGTCGGTCTGGGCTTTAAATTCTAGTTCTACTCATATTCTCTCATCGGAATTCTGGCAACAGGCTGTACCCGTCTACGCCTCTTTTCTCAAGGGTGATTGTTCCCATGGTCACCCAATTAGGTGGGACTGAATGTGGCCATTCACATAAATCATCTAGCGTAGTACAAACCAGTAAGTGTTAGCTGTGATTGCTAGTGATAATGCTTAGCCTACTCTGCCTCTTTTTGCAGAGAATTGGAAATGGAAGCTAATCCTATTGTTCTTCTCTACAAGGGGCTGTTTGTAAGAAATGATTTGAATCTTGGTTTGAATTTGAGCTTTTTCGTTATTGCTCTTGGATAGGATTGAAAACAAAAATTGATGTGTCAACATATATAGATCTCAAAAACAGTAACTGAAAAAGAAACAAGTTGACAAATGACACCACACAGTTACATCACTCATGGATATTCAAATACAGTGTTTTGATAGTGAGACATGAGCTAATAGTGCAGCTGCAGGAACTGATCAAATACATGACCTGGCGTGCACACTGTGGCCTTCCCGGCGCTCAGAGCAGCACAGGGTGCCCACACAAAACACAGTCAATACTCAGTGAATTCACACTAAGAAAGCTAACAGACTTGTTGAGTAAGTTGGCAGGTAAACATTCCATATCATGCTGTTCCTACACTTACCACCTGTTTCTTTTTAAAACTTTAGCTGAAGTTTTTAGAACTTTCTTTTGCTCAAAATTTGACTTCTTCAAATTTACTGTGGCCCTCAAAAATGTTGCTTTGTCTGCAGAAACACCAGCAGAAGGGTAGAGGAGAGGCACCTACTACTAATTTCATTTCCTTTATGAAAACATGTCTGAAGCCAGTACCACACTAAGACTGAATATTTGTCATCTGGGGCAGTAGCATGAAAGTGAAGTGTGTGTTGTTTTCTTAACTTTTCTGACTTTTAAATTTTTTTCCAAGAAATGAATTAAAAACCAAACTCACCAGCCTACCTGAAATGGTGTATTTGCGGTCAGCTGGAAAAAAGTGAAAAATTGTAAAGTATGATTTCCTATTTTGCAGAAGCACTAAAAGCCATGGAAAAAGTAGCAAGCCACATCAACGAGATGCAGAAGATCTACGAGGACTACGGGACCGTGTTTGACCAGCTGGTGGCAGAGCAGAGCGGGCCGGAGAAGGAGGTCGGTGGAGGGGGGACATAGGGTGGAGGCAGGCCTACTGCTGTGTTCCCTGCTCTGCAGGCACCCCTCAAAAAAGGGTCTCCTGGAGGAGAAAAGGCTTAGACCTTCCTTTATGATCTTAAAACATATAATACACTACACAAATGACACATTTAGGCATAAATGTAAAAGTCATTATTGCTTTGAACATGGACTCGATGCCAGCACTCTGTAGGAAAGACACTGAACTCGTATTCCTACCTGTTCTCCTCTGCTGTGGGGCACGGAGGCCAGACCCATCCCCAAATAGGTACGGGGGTTTGCAAGGGCAGGAGGGGTAAAGAAAGTGAGGTCAGCCCAGGCGGAGAATCTGGGGCTATTTCTCTTATAACATCAATATGGTGGCTACCTCCTTACTTAGAAAACATATTTCATCAGTCAGTCTGAACGCCAGTGCTCCAGCACCTGCGGGGACGCTAGTGCAGCGCTCTGGGTCACCTTGCTGCCTGGTGGGAAGAAAGCGTCCCGGGGGCAGGGGCCTATCTCACCAGGTGCGGGATGGACACAAGCAAAATGCCTCCACATTTAGGTTGTTTTTTGAATGGAAATACAGTGCTTAGCTTGATTTTTCAAAACCTCCACCTTTTAAGCTCTAGGTTTACAGGGCTATAAAAATCAAAGTGAATGGACTTGTGGCTTTAGAAATAACTGTATTATGGGATTTGCTGTTCAACTTGAGACCGCCTACCCTGCGGTCTCCACATCTTCTCCTGTTCTTATGACGCAGGTAACAGAACTGTCCATGGGGGAGCTTCTGATGCACTCCACAGTATCCTGGTTGAATCCATTTCTGTCTCTAGGAAAAGCCAGGAGGGACCTTGAGCTCACAGTATTTGGTGAGTATTCCATTTGGGAGAATCTCAACTTGAAGGAAGGTGCCAAGCCCAGCAGGCTGGCGACTCCTGATTTCCAGGAGGAGCTGGAGTCACTGTGGTAATGGCTTCTGACTTAGCAGACAGCCTCCAACTATTTAAAACTGTGCTCTGCACACTCATTATCTCTCTCTTCCTTCTGTGCTTGGCTTAGTGGTTCTTGCCAAGTGTCACAGGAACAGATCCCCCGAGGCTATTTTGAAACCTGCTATCTTGAAAGTTTGCTGCATTTCAAACTCATTGAGGAACACCACGTCCTCAGATTTCAATAAAGAAGGCAAACATTCAAAAAATTCAGGATCAACTTCAGATCATAGCTTTTAAATAAGCAAGTACTTCTGCATAATACAAATATGGACAGAGGGAAGTTTTATTCACTCACGGGCTGGCATAGTGGGTTCTCGGAGCTTTGTTAAACAACCTTGGAAGACAATTTGTATAAGGTAATTAAGACTCCTCTTTCTCTTTTCCTTTCTGTAGTTTTTAAGAGAGCTGTCATACTGGTTTATAAAGAAAACTGCAAACTGAAAAAGAAATTGGTAAGACAAGAATTACTTTTAATTAGAGCTACCTTTTCCTAGCTTTATCTTCCTCCTAACGTTGAACTCAGAGGCCTGCTAACCACCCACCCCAGCCTTACTGACAGTTCTTGTTCCTAGGGTGAGGAACCAAATCAAATTGGCAAGGTGTTTTTTGTCCTGCCCACAAAAGTTGTCTGTTTTAAAAGAAGATGTAGATAAACACCCACACTAAGGCCTACGACATAGAAAACCAGAATTTACATCCCTGAAAATGGCTATTCGCTCCATATACCTAGGGGCCCCCATAATCAGTTGGTTTTCAAATGCCCTTTACCTTGACTCAAAAAAACACTTAATTGTGGCTCCCATAAGCCCAGTATGAGGATATGGAAGGATGGTTGTCACTCTTGCTTGGAAATCTAGAGCTCTCTGCTCCCCAAGCACGACTCTGCCCTGTGCGTGCCCCAAGGACCGTGCACCCACATCCCTAACCTGATCCTTTCAGCACCTGAACACTTCCATATCGTGCACACGTCCTCCCTGGTTGAGAGCTCTGTGTAAAACTTTCTCGGGGGGCTTTCCTATTACAGCCCTCCAATTCCCGGCCTGCACACAGCGCTGCTGACTTGGACCCATTTAAATTTCGTTGGTTGATTCCCATATCCGCACTTCAAGTCAGACTGGGGAATACGGCAGGTAATTGTTTCGTGTGGCGCAATGCCAGAAAAAGCACTTTCAAGTGACTTGAACTGTGGCATGACAAGATGGGAAAGTACCTTGGGGAGAGTTTTTGGTGTTTTATTTTAGAGGCAAGGGAAACGTGGATGAGAGGACGTTCTGAGATTGCGTGGCAGACTCGCACAAGGTGAACGCCAAAAGGGACAGCTTTTCTTTGCCATATTGTTCCCTTATTGTCACCATCAAGAGTTTTCAACATTTGTTTCTGCCTAATGTCCTTGATACCTTAAAGTCCCACCAATTTAAACTTCTACAAATTAAGGTATGCCAGAAAATTCCTTATCACTAAGCAGTAGCCTAAGTGATAGAACCCTAAAGAAAAAAAATCTTCCACCCTGGAAAGCAGAATCCTACAGCACTACGGCATCTGGGCCTCTAACGTGCCTGACCACATCCCACTGTACCTCCCAAGGAATGGGGCTGAGAAACAGGGCGCACTGTGCTCACTCCCAGAAGAACCCGGGGTGGGGAGAAGGCACTGAGATGGGGGAGACCTTGAGCAGAAGTGTGAAGGTTCTGTGTGTGAAAGTTAAGCATAGAACTAGCCACAGGAGAAAACAAGGAGAGCCAGGATGGGGAACATTTTAAAAAAATCCTAAGTATTCTTACCTGCGGCATCCTTGTTTCCTTTAACACAGGGACAGAAAATAATTCCATATGGGAGCTGATCCATACGAAGTCAGAAATAGAAGGCCGGCCAGAGACCATCTTTCAGCTGAGCTGCAGGTATTACCAATTTTGCCAAATTAAAGCCAATGGGATAAGACAGAACTAGTTTCTCTGAGAAAAGGAACTTTAGAACTGGGGACTTGGAACAGGTATGATGACACTCTGGACACTACAGCTGACCTCTTCCCCTGCAGTGACAGCGAAAGCAAAACGAACATTGTCAAGGTGATTCGATCTATTCTGAGGGAAAACTTCAGGCGCCACATAAAGTGTGAGTTACCGCTGGAGAAAACATGTAAGGATCGCCTGGTCCCCCTGAAGAACCGCGTCCCTGTTTCAGCCAAATTAGGTGAGAACTTTGCTGCCCCTGTGTCCCTTCAGGAAAACATGAGCTTCTCTAAAGCAATCTGTGCTCTTGTAACACATTCTCTGTCATCACTGGACAGAGCTACCCTGATCATTTACAGACTCTAAAGCAGACACCCCAGCCCACGGGGATGTGAGAACCAGGGGGCAACTTCATTTCCCTTTCAGAAGCCTCAACATGCCTCTTGCTCCCAGACCGCCTTTCATAAAATACAACCAGTCTCAGCCCAGATCAGCTAGACCTGTGCTGCTCTACTCACCGCTGCTTCTGCTGAGGCGCCCTGGAGCACGGGACCTGGCGTGCCACGCTGTGCTTCCCGGCTCTCAGAGCAGCACAGGGTGCCCACACAAAACACAGTCAATACTCAGTGAACTCACACCAAGAAAGCTAACAGACTTGTTGAGTAAGCTGGCAGGTCAACATTCCATATCATGCTGTTCCTACACTTACCACCTGTTTTTTTTAAAACTTCAGCTGAAGTTTTTTTTTTTTTTTTTTTTTTTTTAAAGATTTATTTTTATTTATTTATTTATACAAGCACTGGGTGCAGTCAGAAGCGCGGGAGGGTGAGAGAATCCACCAGAGCCAGAGCGGGGAGCAGAGCAGGCAGAAGGACCGAAGTACACCGCTGAGGGGAGCAGCGGGCGGCAGGAGAGGTCCGCGCGCCATGTGGGACCCTCCTCCGGTGGCCGGGGAGCAGCCGGGGATCGAACTGGCGCTGCAGAGGCTGCGGGCAGCTTCACAACCCAGCGCTCAACCGATGCGCCACCGGGGAGGCCCCTTCAGCTGAAGTTTTTAGAACTTTCTTTTGCTCAAAATTTGACTTCTCCAAATTTATTGTGGCCCTCAAAAATGTTGCTTTGTCTGCAGAAACACAAGCAAGCTCCTCTTTCCTTTCTACCCAAGAGGAAGGAATTAAACACACAAAATGATTAGCTAGTTGTATTAAATATCTGAAAGTTGCTTAGAAATTCCAGGAGAAAGAGTTCTCATGAATTATAATAAACAGCATATTTCTACTTTTAATTGAGCAATGAGAATATGGTGAGAAGCTATGCATAGAAATACGGTATAAACTGCTCATCAAATTAAATTACAAAGTACTTTAACGTAAAAAAGGAACCTAGCTTTGATTAGTAACTACCTTTTCAATTTAGCCATGGGCAAAAAATAAGGATCCTAGATCTTATGACAGTTCATAACTTACTGCTTTCTCTGAATAACTGGCCAGAAAAAGCCAAATTCCCCAACTTGAAATTTCAAATACATGTAAGTAAAACATTTCCCACTATTTTTTTAACCCCAGTCCCAGACGGTAACTGAAGTGAGATGAAATCATTAGCTGTTACATCTTATAACCTATAATGCAAAAATGGCACCTGAGGAGTTTGTTGCTTTATCCTAAGGGGATGTGTGCTTTCCTCTTTGCAGCTTCATCCAGGTCCTTAAAAGTCCTCAAAAATTCCTCCAGCAGCGAGTGGCCCGGTGAGCCTGGGAAGGGCAGCTCGCTGGACTCTGACGAGGGCAGCCTGGGCAGCAGCACCCAGAGCAGCTGCCACACGGCCGGGAGCAGGCAGGACTCCCTGAAACACATGCCCCCTGACATGGGAGATTTCTCAGACAGTCTCATCAAAGAGAGCGACATTCTGAGTGACGAGGACGAGGACTGCCATCAGGCTCTGAGACAGCGCAGCCCGACCAAAGACATCGAGATTCAGTTCCAGAGACTGAGAATCTCTGAGGAGCCCAACGCTGTGTCAGCTGAACCGCAGCCTGGCACCGAGGGCCAGCAGGCAGGACCGCAGCCCAAACTTGTCCGGGGGCACTTCTGTCCCATTAAGCGAAGAGCAAACAGCACCAAGAGGGACAGGGGGACTCTGCTAAAGGCGCAGCTGCGTCATCAGTCCCTCGACAGTCAATCTGAAAATGCCAGCCTTGACCTCAATTCTGTTCTAGAGCGAGAATTCAGTGTCCAGAGTTTAACATCAGTTGTCAACGAGGAGTGTTTTTATGAAACAGAGAGCCACGGAAAGTCATAGTCCACTTTCAATCCAGATGTGGGTTGAGTTGTTGAAACTGGTGGCCAAGTGGAAATTGCTGGAAAATGACCCATTACTGGGTCTTGCGTGGTATACATTTTCCCATGAAATCATTGTAAAGATTTAAGTTATTTTAATTTATTGTGGATCAGAAAACTAGACTAAACTGGTCAGAATCTGTAAATTACCTAGTTTACATCCCTTTTGAGCAGGTATCAAAATGACTTAGAATTCCTTAAAATAAAATTGCTTTCTAATTATTTTAATTTATGTTGAAAAAGCAAGGTGGGGAAGTTGTGATTAATAGCTTTTTAAAAGGTCAATTTTTTTCCAACCCTCTGGGCATTGTCTTTGAGCTGCCAGTTTTTGCTTTATTTAAAGCATCCTTAAGTTATTTAATTGTGGGTGAGGGCACAGGTACTTCATTTTTTAATGTTGTAATAGATGCTGTTTATACTAAACACGTCATATCTATGCAGTATATATTAAAAGAAAGCTTGTACTGTATCTTGATTATATTTATTTTCTCTACCAAGCTGTACAGTAAAAGGGATATAAGTCACACCTGGTAACTGGTATTTTTGTTATTCTGTAGAAGATGAAAGAGGGCAGCTGAGAAGTGACGCATCCCGTGGGCCACTGGCCCCGAAGAGCAGCTATAGTCTGTGACTATCCTCGTCATCCTCTTGTTCCTGATTTTTGCTTTTATTTTGCTTGAGTTCATGTCTGAAATTATAAGCAAAGAGGTGGGGGTCTTCATCACACATTTCCCGGTACACATCACAGAGACTCTTAAAATGTGAGACAGAGAGCTGGCCGGGTCGGAGAGTAGGGTTCACCTCTGCCAGCTCTAAGAGTTTTCCAGTGCTTTCTAAGCGCTGAGCTTCAGGGAATAACATTCTGAGGGGAAGAGAAAAAACAGACTTTTACTTAAGAAATTCTTCATATCATGCTTCTTCCTTCTACCCTCCTTTGAAAACAACACTGTGCTGGTAAGTGGCAACGTGAGGTCCTGGAGGAGGTGGCGGCCACGGGATACAAGCCAATGGTGAAGGCTTTTGTTTGCACCACTGGGCACAGGGTATGGCCAGCCACGGGAGGCCGACCTCACCTGACTGCAAGGTGCACCCACAGGGAAGTATATTTTCCAGAGTTCTATCAATGCCTCTATTTTTAAGGCAAGTCTGAAATGGTATCTGCTTAGCAGTGTTCTTAGAACATATAAGCTTGATTTGTTTATCTTCATACAGACTTTCCCTACAGAACTTTTGGACTTTATGATGGTGAAAGCTACATGCATTCAATAGAAATTGTGCTTCAAAGTTTGTGTTTTTCTTTCTCCCAGGTCATGACGTTAGGCCACAGCAATCCCGCACAACCGTGAGGGTAAACAGCTGATAATCTACAGGGTCTCCTGTCAGCAAATCGCAAGCCTTAGCTGGAGAGACACTGACCCTGTGGCTGCAGCATCCAACATTTAACCTTAGTTCAATGCTTCAAATATCTGCCAGGCCCAGGGCACACTCAGCCCCGTGTGTTAACAATGAGAACCAAACCAACATTCTGTTGCTCACCTTCTGCAGGGTTCAACATGTCACATAGGCATCCAACACATCACTCTGCCCAGCTGTAGGCTGAGTGTTCCGAGTGCACTCAAGGTGGGCTAGGCTATGCATGGTGTTTGCTATGGTGAGTTATCAAGTGCAATTTATGGTGGGATTTTTGGGATCCAACCCCATTGCAAATTGAGGAAGATCTGCAGGAAAGTAGTCCATTATTTCTTGTGTCACGTATCAACAATTTGATTCTCTATAAGTTAATTAGCCTTTAGAATGCTTTACCCCAAGAGAATTACCTTTCTCTTTAGAAACAGCTGATGTGAAAATAAAAAGTTATTTCCCTCTTAAGATATTCTGGGACATCTTAACATGGATTCAAAGAACATTTTAAATTTCATCTAACCAAATTGGGCCATTATTTTAAAACGAAGAGGCAAGCTGGCTGATTGAAATACTGCAAAGCCATACTTGGATTTTAATTTCTTCTCTCACATTTCAGAGGCTCTACAGAGCTCATCTCCATGTCTGGAGAACTAGCTGCGCTGGCACGAGCAGCGCACATACCCAGAGTAAACACAGTTCGCATCCTGGTTGAGAAATCATGACCCCACTCTCCCTCACAAGAACATCATACACTCCATGTGACTGTCAATTTTAGGCTGCACTTAGATAAAACCAAACGCCACCTAGAAGGGGCATCTGTGGGTAGACTGAGGCTGTGCTTTTCCTCAGTGGCAGTAAAGGTTTGCTCATTACAGGGCTGGAGCTGAGAGGAACACAGGCTGAAGCAACAGGGTCATAGAAGCAAAGTTCCTAATCCTTAGGAGTGACGGAGAATTCTTCACAGGGCAGTACTAAAGGAGGTGTTCTTACCCCAGCCCTCGATGGCAGTATTTCCTTCGGAACTGAAATGTACTGCGGACGACTTTCTCCACCAGCTTGAAGGGCTGCTGGATCCGGGGCTGCTTCAGGGGCTTGAAGTGGACCACTCCCACATCCACCTTGATGGAAGCAAACACATGTCATTTTGTTGCATGGTGCCAACATGCACGTCACATGATGAACACATGATTTCCATCAAGGAAACTTTATGGGCTTCTGTTCCATCTTTTCTAGGCATGTGAGATGCTACACTAGCATTTGCGCTGACTCAGAAATCAGCTGGTTGCATCTGTTCTATAATGACACCCATTAGATCTGTGTTTGATGATTACTTAATTCTGAAATGCAATTTTACAAAGGCCTTTTAAGATCAATCCAAGTAATCATTAAAGTTAGCAAGCGGATAACAGACAGCATGAGGATATTTTATTTAGCATTTGAATGAGTAAAAAATAAGCTATAGCAGCAGTTCTGACTATAAGGCTGGGTTTCAAAATAGAGAAGGCAGAAGGGCCCCCAGGGACCATTTAGTGCTGAGCTCCCCAGAAAGGAAATCAATTAGGATGCCACTTATTTTGGGGACAGACACTGATTAATCAGCTAGACTGAATTCATGATCACTGTCATCTGCACAGCCACATAACTTCCTGGGAACAATGTTAAAGGCCCCAGGGGGTAGACTACAAATAGAAAATGGAAACCAGTAAACATACCCCTTTCTGGTAGTTGAAAGTCACTGCTGAGATTCTTTTTATCAGAAAATAAAACATTTTCAGGCCCATCTGATAAGAGATTACACCCTGCCTCATTCTAAAAATGGACTCCTGGTGATTCAAAATAACAAAAAAAATATTATAGGACAAATGGAGAAATGAAATTAAAGCAGTTATCACACACACAAGTGTGCAGCACAGACTGTGGTCTAGAAGTGGAAGTGTTTACATAACTACTAGCCTCCCAGGAATTAAGTTTGCTACTTAGAACATCATACAAGTTCTACAAAGGCTAAGACAGGACAGCAATTTATGAAGTGTCATGTGTACCTACTTTTCAGAAGGAATTCTGTTTAAGTTCTATCAGGATTATGCTCTCTTGGGAGAATTTGCTTCTAAAGAGCCTTGTCGCTTACAAAACTCTGTAAAATTGGCCTGAAATATATGCAAACAGGGAACACTTTTGTTTTTATGTTGAAGTAGTCCTGGCACATGACACAAGACTGCGGCCAAGGAAGACCTGAAGGTGTGCTCACAGGGCAGCTGGACCCGCTATGCAGGAGCCCAAGGGACCTAAGCAGCTGCTGCTCTTACCCCAAGGGCTTTGGGGTGGCTACAGTTGCACCCACTGCAGTGACTGCCAGCACCATCAGGGTGCTGAGGGCCAACTGAGAGGCCTTTCCATGCTGAAAATGTTTCCTTAAATGCCCCTTACCCTGAGGACTATTAAAGTGAAGATTAGACCCCTCCAGTAATAATCTCACTTTAGAGTGTGATGATCTAAAGTCAACTGTTAATGTCCTTATTAAATTTTAATAGCTTTTCAAATTGTCTTTGATCTGATGCCTGATCAGTTTCTCCCAGTTCAGTGAAACAGTACAACGTGCTTTTGTTAAAAGGCCAGGGCTGTCCTTAGGCCGTCACAGAAGCACAACGGAGCACTCTGAGCAGCGCAGAGAGAAGAGGCCCCTAGGAGGGTGGGGGCGGCCCTCATGATGCAGCTACAAGCAGCAGCCCAGATACACTAGACACCATAGACTCTGCTCACAGACGGAGCATCCCCCACCCCTCTGCTGACAGGGGACCAGACTGTAGGGAAAGAAGCCTCTAGCCATTCCCTAGAAGCCATTCCTCAGCCCTCCATGCCCTTTCCTTCCACCACTGAGCTCACTGGCATCGCTGCCCCACCTGTCACTGCCAACCCCCTACGGCTAACCCCTTCTATCTAATTTCTCCTTATAATCTAAGTTACACCGACAGTTCTGACAGGGATTGTTTCCCATCACCAGCTGTGACCCAACAGCCTACAGGTCTCCAGGGAAAATCTTTTAGTAAAAGATGAGATAAAATTTAAGCTCAACCTTTAAACCCATGAAATATCAAAACTCTTCGTAATCTTCAAACACTATTAAGATCAAAGGCACGAATACAGGGATAAACGCATTCTCCTTCTAATACAGAAAGTGCTGCTTCCAGCTTCCTTACATTTTAAAATTTGGCTTCATTTTTATTTGCATGATTTAATTCCTTTGGGATACAGTTGGTGTTTGCAAATACTGGAAATGTCTAATTTTTGCTTTATTAAAAAAAAAATTTTTAAAACCCTATACCCCATGGAAACTGCAAAAGCAGACATCTAAAGTCTGAATACGAGCCTGATACCCTAAGTGGGCTGCCAGTTACACTGCAGCTACGAGGGAAACTCCACTCACGCAAACGCTGCTCCTCTTCCGCGGAGGAGCCTCCAGGATGCAGTGTGAAGGAGGCCCCTCTGCTTCCCTGGGGAACCTAGACTAGCCTCTTCTCTATCCCTGCCACAATAGCACTTCTTGGAACAATTCTGAATTATGGAGCCCACTTTCTTTAGAACCAGAGGAAAGCTGCTTGGTAACTATGGTAACAGATTTTAAAAAATCCTTACTTATAATTGAATATTTATTTTAAATTACAACCATTATTTTTCTTTCCTTGAGTTTTAAGTCTATTGAAGGGTTTGCTTACAATAAAGAAATCAGTACCTAGGCACTAGATGTTCTTAAAAGTTCTACTTTAACACTGCCAGCACTGTTCCAAACACAGTCTATCAATTTACCAACTGATCTCCAATTATTAACTTTTCAAATTAAAGGATTTATAATGAATTTAAACACATGCCTCTCAAATCTACCAGGATGTCAAGACTGCAGCAGCTGAGGCCAGCAGTTGTGGCTACAAGCAGCTGGAGGCAGATAGCTCCTTCTCCAGCCCCGGTCCCTAGACTGGTTCTGGGCTCATAGCAGCCCTGCGAACGCTGGAGTCCTAGGGCAAGAATCTGAACTCTAGAGCATGCCAACTCAGACACCAGGACACCGATGAATGTACAGCCCAGTTCTTGACTTCGAGGTGATCACCCTGTGCCAGAGGGAAAGGTCTAGAAACAATGCAGGCTGTGGTCTGAGGAAACACCTTGAACACCTGCTACAGTGTTGGACACTATCAAAGGGCATGGCAGGGTGGGAGAATGGGCAGAAGCTGCGATGTAGCAGCCAAGACAGAACCTCACTGCAAGATGACAGCAGGAATGGTGAGAATCAAAGAATGGCCACAAGGAGTAAATGGTCAGACATCAAGAGCAATACAAGGAGGACTCGAGTTCAAGGAGGTACTGTCCTGACAGGTCTGTGTAGAACGGAGTGGGCAGGTCCTGATGGGAGGGGTCAGGGGCTTGGGGGTCATGGTCAGTTTCAAGTGAAATGACAGAGTAAGTGAACACAGTGGGGGGTGCTTGGCGCCTGTGTCCACTTACTTTTCAGGTCCCTAAATCCCTAGACAGTCAACAAAGAAAGTCAGGGTCCTGGCAGGTACAACCTCCCCAGATAAGGATAACTGAGTGACAAGTTGTTGATGCCGATGGTACTGTAATTAACACATTCTGTAGAAAAAAATATTTACAAATACAAATGAAGATCAAATTTCCCAGAAGTGATTTATCCTGCCCATAATCTATGCACCATGTTAGAGCAGAATTTCAGTGGCAAAACTTTAAAACTCACTTTAACAGCATTCCAGGTATTCCAAACCAATGTGTTTAACAAAGGTTGACAGGATACCCATACCTCTTTCTTCAAAGATAACTTGTGCTTGTTAGTGTACCAATGTTAATTTCTGCACAAGTTCTGCTCTACTTTAAGCAGCCGGAGACTGATGCCATGATCACTGCTCCCAAGCGGGCCTGACACTCGCTGGTCTGAGTCCTGGACCTTCCTAGCCCAGGGGTTATCAACACCTGACCAGCTCCTCTTTTGCTGAGGGGTTTCTCTCTCATGTGCTCACGCTGCCCTGCTTCCCAGTTCTGACCTGAACAGCACTGCCTTTATAAAGGGGAATTCCATGACTACTGGATACCCCCTTCCCGTGCTACACCACAAAGTCTGGGGTTCACTGTCCTCCAACGTGTCAGCAGAGATAGAAAAATAAGACAAGTCATGGAAACTGACACCCTTCTAATTTGGCAAGTTAAGTCCACGTGAACCCACCTGGGACTCTAGAGGTTGGGCAGGAGACCCAGGTGTGTGGAAGAGTCCCTCAGGGAGGAAGGCAAACAGGAGGAGGGGGTGAGCCAGTCTGCTGAGCCTGCACTCAGATATGACCAACAAATGAGGATGTTTTAAAAAAAAAAAAAAAACTGTTTTGTTTTTCAACATAATGTGCTGAGAAAGCTATGGCAAGGCCATAATAAATACTGATTTATACTATTTGTGAGATTGAAAAGAAAAAAACTAGGCAGACCTGCAAGTGTCACCATCAAACCCAAAGACAGTCTCGGGATTGTGAAATAATGTGAGGAAGACACAAGACACAACGTGCAGGAACACACCTGACAGGCTGTAAAGGGAGGGCAACAAGCTGCCTTATTAGACATTTGACAACACGCACAAACCAAAAATCCCCATCTTCATTTTTAAGAGTCCTCACCTAGCAATTAATCTACCAACTCCAGTTGTAAAAGTTAGTCTTCAGGCCAAAAAGCCTAAAGGGAATTCCAAAGAACCACAACATGGAGCTTACTAATGGACTGAGAAGCAAATAGCTGATGATGACCGGAACCGAAGAAAAACATTATTTTGGGATTAAGTCAATCACTTTGAACTTGTAGGACTGGACCAGGTAGCTATTGCTCAGTAAGAACAGGTAGTTCTTACTGTGAACTTTCATTATTTCAAAGTTGAAAGGAAAGAAGACATTTTTAAAAAACTAGAGACCCCACTTTTCATTGGAATTAAGCGGGGTAGCCTTTTAAACATGCAATGAAACCAGACCACCGTGCTGGGGCCTCAGGCCTTCCCAGTGCTGCTGATGCCCACCTGGGCATGTGTGAGGAACAGGCCTGGAGCACAGGCTCAGACAAAGGTTGATATTGTTATTAC